CATTCACACACAACTCATCCAAATTACTTATATTTTCTCTCAGTCTGCATTTGTACTTGTCTTTCACATCTTCATCTTGTAACCTCTCAATTCTTATACGCTGTAACGCAGTGGTAGACACAGATGTCCTATGCCGCCAACGTCTGAATAAACCCCTAATTCGGCATAAGACCAGGTAGTGGTCCGTCCCTACGTTGGACCCCCGGTAAACCCTTGTATCCACCACTGCGCTCCTCATTCTTTCATCCACAGTTATGAAATCTATCATGCTTCTATCATCACCTCTTTCCCAAGTATACATGTGAATCTTCTTATGACGAAAGAAAGTGTTCGTCACAAAAAGATTCCTTTCCACACATACGGTGAGGAGGCTTTCACCATTCTCATTTATACTTTCATCACCAAACGTTCCCAATATCCTTTCATAACCAAGCCTCCTCACCCCAACGCTTCCATTAAAATCTCCTAGCATAATAATATTTTCATTTCCCTTACACTTCATTAACACCATCCTTACCATTTCCCAAAACTGCTCCCGGATATAAGTGGGCGACATGTCTGGGGCGTAGACCCCTAACACAAACAACTTCTTTAAGCCCACTTTCATTCGTATCCATAGCAGTCTTGGGCTTACACATTCATACTCTTTCACACATTGGCCCATTCTTTCTGAAAGGATGATACCTACTCCCTGGCATGCCCGCTCGATCTCGTCTACACCAGACCAGTATGCGGTATACATGCCATGTGTAGTGACATCCTTCCCCTTCCTTTTCGTCTCATTTACGCATAACACATCTATTCCCCTATCATACATCATATCGCATACTTCATCCATTTTATCATTCATTGCCCCACATACATTCAACGTAGCCAGACGGGCCTCTGCAATCCACTTTTCGCCTCTCCGGGAGACAGAACGTGACGGGTGGCGAACCTCGTCGCCGGTTTTCCTCCCGGAGATTCTTCGCACCCCTGCCCCATTAAAGGGGCGCCGGGAACTCGGGGCCATTTCTTTTACTTTTTGCCTCATGGTGCGAAAACTAGGGCGTGGCATATTTTACGCCGCTACCACACGGCGAGTAGCCGAGTCTGTTCTTTCGGCTTTGTCGCTCTTTTAGCACCACCCGGGGGAAACGTGTAGGGTGGGCCTAGGATTAGGTGGTCGAAGCCTACGGACGCGAGCGACTTATCCCCCCAACAATTATTAATTTTTCAATAATTCAACTTATTTAAATGTTTATTCATACGCAACTTTCAATCACAAACGATGTAACAATAATTTGAAATACGTATTTTATGATATAATGTGTTGAAATACGGAGCTCATTAAAATACGTATTTGTTTATCACTAATATGTGACTGGTATTTGGCATATTTTTCGCATTTTCAATGTAGTGTCGGCAGATTCTGGCAAATTTTCATCCAGTGTAGGGCTAATTCTTTGTATTCATGATGGTCACACTCATACGCCAGTATGTTCTAAGAGTAGACACAGAAACCTATAGACAAATTGACGCCTTCTTTCGCATTCGCACACGAAAAAGATAGATTTATGCATACGTGTTGCATAGAAATGAGACAGAGCGGAGTGATTGTTTGTCCCTTTCTCCGTGCCGGTTTTTTGTTTAGCAAACTACACTTTGCTTAACAAAAAATGTGTTAGAAATCATAAAGATTATTGAATATGTTTAAAAGTCATAAAGATTATTGAATAACCTAAAACTACGTTATCGTCCTTTCTCACTCGAGGCCATGCTAATCATTAGTCTATAGGTTTATCTGTCTACGATTCCAAGTTTCGGAGTCTATGGTTAATATTGTTCGTTAATCTGTAAAAGTTTTTGACGTTTTGTCCATTTTTATTGTTGTTCTTTTCGAGACGATAGGCTAACAGAATAGTCACAATGGTATTTTTATTTTAGTTTATTTAATAAATCATTTAAGAAAATGTCTCTTAATCGTTGTGAATTAGTGTATTGCTTTTCTGGGATGTTGGATTTTCATTGATTTCTGTACTAAATGGTTAAATTTTGCATTTTAGTCGCTCGTGATACCGGACAAATTTCAACATATTCTTCGTATTATGAATACGAATATCGATGGCAAACGCAAGGTTATGTTTGCCATGACCGCTATTAAAGGAGTCGGTCGAAGATACTCTAACATTGTCCTAAAAAAAGCCGATATTGATTTGGATAAACGTGCTGGTGAATGTACAGAAGAAGAGGTAAATATAACATAATTTGTACATTACACATAAACTGACTTTTGTTTATGTACTTTTAAACACTGATTTTAATTTGTAATCAATTTATCATTCCAGGTTGAAAAAATTGTTACCATTATGTCAAACCCCAGGCAATACAAAATTCCTGATTGGTTCTTGAACAGACAGAAGGACATTGTTGATGGCAAATACAGTCAGCTGACTTCTTCTAACTTGGACTCCAAGCTTCGTGAAGATTTGGAAAGGTTAAAGAAGATTCGCGCCCACAGGGGTATGCGTCATTATTGGGGTCTCCGTGTGCGTGGTCAACATACTAAAACCACCGGTAGAAGAGGAAGAACTGTTGGTGTATCCAAAAAGAAGTAAATAATAAATATATCAGCTCTGTATACCTTCTTTAATTTTACCTAATTTCAGTAATATGAAGTTCTTAACATTAATTATTTAATTAGAATGTTTAATATTTTCTTAAATGTCCAGTGTTTTTAGTACTGAACAAGTTATTACAAATAGAGATTTTTTATGGATTTAAATTTGATATAAACAATTGCTTACTTGCCTACCAAGTATAGTTAATTATGTTCAAAGAAAATGTAATATCTAGCTTGAATTAATGTTTTCTTTTTATTAGTGAGCTCTAAATCACCAAATTACTCAAATAGGTATATGTACATTTTCTAACAAATTGACAGTGGGCTAGATGTAAAATGCTCTGACTAGCAATAGACAGTAGTATCAAGGTGTGTATGTTGTTACTGCAATTGTCAATCTGTCTGGTGTAGTGATGACTAGGCAAAATCCTCTCTACAACAGTTGAAGCCTATGTCCAAAAGGGCTGATAATGAATGACATTATCCAATACTTTGAGAAAGTGTTCTGTGATCCAATGGATGACAGGAATTGACAGACTCAATTGGTAAAGAAATCTCTTGTCTTAGAAGTCTATACCGTGCTGATGGATCCTGGGCTTATATTTAAGACATTCAAATTTGTGTAAAAAAACTAATGCAGGTTTCATCTTTAGATTTGTTGTACTCATGTCTAATATTGCAACTGAGCTTACCTTTCACCAAATTGGATGTGTAACTTGTATGTAAGATTGATGTGTTAAAGTCGCATGCAATTGTAACAAGATCGTAGCAAGAGCAACAATGCATGTAAAATATTTTATGTGGTAGAGCCACACAACAGGTATATTATGGTTGTAGTATGAATGGGTTAGCTCGAGCTCGACCATGGTAGGACCACACTCTCACAGAATACCTATGTAAAGTAGCAGCTTAATGCTGCTGTATTTCTGATTGTGAGTGTAAGAAAACTGGAGACCCTTTTTGCTGGAAAAGAGGCATTCCATCTTTGTCCACAGGGGTGACCAGGCATATGTATTTTGATTGTTAATTGAAGTTGAATGTAGATGTCTAAGGGCCGCAGCATCCACTTACCAACAGGTGGACTGTGTGCTCATTTGTCACTTATGTATAAAAAAATATGGACAGTCCTGAAGAGGGTGAGATTGTAGTAATTGAGATCAGTGTGTCTTTCTGGCTGCTGTCACAACATATAAAGATTAAAATTCTTGTGGTAGTTTATAAGAGAGATCGACAGATAACTAAAAAGACTAGATGGAGTGATAATGAAGTTGATGGATACAGGTGGCTCAGGAACATGCTTCGTGAAGCTCCTTGAGGGAGGCCTATGTTCAGTAGTGGACTTGTGAAGAGCTGTAATAATGATGATGAGCTTAGGTACTGTTCCTACTGTATCTGTTAATATAGCTGATAAAACAGAATCATTAGCAGTATTATCGAAATAAAAGTAAGTGGAATAATGTTACTGACATCAATTTTAACATGGTGTGCTGTTAGAAGAAAGAAACTCAAATATTTTTGTATTTTTTTTACTTTTAATTAGTTTTTAAAATAAAGTTGAGCTCAAACATTACATATTACAAACTAACTGTGTACGAATGGATCATTACTAAGACCAAAGTTAAAAAATCAAGTTTCACCAAAAATAAAAATAAAACAATAGTGTCAGATGCATTGCAAAAAAATACATGACGGTCACAAATCTTGATTTAAAGACCAGTAATTGTGTGGTTCTATTAAATGATCTAGAAATTGAACCCAATGAAATTGAGAACTTATTAGAGATTTAATTAAAAATGATTAGTAAATATAAATAACAGCACAAATTAAAAGTACAAAGTGTAATAGTGGGAGAGTTTGTGTATGTGTACTTTTTACAGCCATCATACTGCAAACAACATGTAAATATTTCGCTAGTAATATATAAGTCAATGGTAAATATGCAATAGATGATGATAATTAATTGACAGACTAATTACATGACAGGATGTTCACTGTACACATACTTGTACTTCTTCAAAGGGAAGTATAAATCAAGAAGTGTGTAAATCTGGGTTGTGCTTGCGATTTGTGCTGCTAGCTACTATGTCATTAAAAGAAAATATTTGCTACATTCTAACAACTTGCATTGGGCTCAACAGGATGTTTAAAATAAATATGAACTATAAAAGTAATGCATTTTAATACAGTATATTATTTATTTACTAAACTTGACAGTATTAAACAATTAAAACTTATGTTATTAAAATATGATGTGCTTTATTTCTAAATAAAATGTAGCATAAGGTACCACCTATCCAGTAAAGAAAAAAAAATCTTGTGACATAATTATTGGCATTTGATTAATTTATTATGAATTATTCTTACATAACAAATTACTTACAAAATACAATCAACTTAGCTATTCATATTGTGCAATTAAAACCATCATGTACACTCCAGCCAAAAGAGCCATTATTTCTTTGATAGACTGTGAAAATTTATTATTTGATCCTTCTAAAAGTTCTGGAATCACAGATACAGTTGCAATATAAATAAATCCACCTGCAGTAAATGGTAATATGAGAGATGAAACAAGTCCATCGCTGGAACCTTGGAGATAAATTGAAATAACTGTACCAGAGATAGCTCCAAATGCTGTCAACAGCTGTAACATCATAGCTTTTCTTCGAGAGCAACCAGACTGCACAAGAATAGCAAAATCACCTATCTCATGAGGAATTTCATGTAATAAAATTGTGACAGTTGTGATGTAGCCAATGCTTTGTCCTGCTATAAATGAAGCTCCAATAGCTAATCCATCTGTAAAATTATGTGTAAAATCAGCTGCCAAATTTAGGTATCCAGCAATTTTTATTTCGTCCTTTTTAGAGTTATTCAGTTTTTTTGATTTATCACTGTCCTTCTTTTTGTCTGTACTATGAGAATGACCATGGCCTCCACTGAATAGCCGTACTGATTTTTCTACAACAAGAAATGTTATAATTCCACCAAGAACTCCTAGGCCAACTGTCATATCATGAGGTTCATGTTGGTCTTTTCCATGTGAATGACTATGGCTATGACTGTGACCACTTTTATCTTCACGTGGTGTAAGGGCATGTGGAATCAAGTGTAAAAATGCATCACCAAGAAGGCCACCAGAAGCAAACGACAATAATATTTTCAAAAGCGGTTGTTTTTCAACACTTCCATCAATAGGAATGAAAAACAATATAAAAAAGGGTACTATACTAATAAATACGGTAGAACTTAAAGCTTTTACATATAAATCATAGTCCGATTGTGGTACTTTATCTTGATACATTTTGTATTTTTCGTTCGCACTTGCAGAATATTTGTAAGCAGTCGGTTCATCCGCACTGGAATGTGAATGGGCATGAGAATGTCCTAATACATTAACTGAAGCCCATAAGGAAATAAAAATAAGAAAATAAATCCTATTTATGAAAGACATGGTAACTTTTGAACAAATAATTCCTATTTCTAGTAACTTAATATTGTGTTCACATCACAAATACACCTGCCAAGTGCCAATTTCAACTGCCAAAATCCAAAACTGATAGAGACTAGAGTTATTACACGATACACGCTTTCTTTTTGATGCCAATTGCCAACCGTATAGCCAATAAATCTGTCATGTCCGTCGTGACACTGACACACTGACAGTCAGGTTTGCCAAATGCCAAAGAGTATAGAGTATAGTAAGTAGTAAGAGTAAGAGTATAGTACAGTTACTGTCCTATACAGCAGGTATACAAAAAGTACTCTGTGCTATACAGGAAGCCAAATGCCAACCAGCAACCTGAAGTTTTGGCTGAAATTTGGCCGTAGACGGATTGTCGCTCCTGTTTTGTTGCTTGAATAATGGTTTGAAGTGGATTTTGATTCGTAAAAGTGCTGCGATTTTGTGAATTAAGTGTCCGCGCGTGTGAACTATTAGAGAAAACGACGAAACAAGTGCTTTTATGTCGATATAAACCTCAAGTTGTTTTGATCGCTTGGGCGCCTTATGAACTTGAGTGGCTATCGTCATCAACTGTCCGCTAGGTTGAGCTGTCGTCAAAATCTCCCAAGGGCTTCGCAATGTTACGCATTAGCATATTGTAAAGAAAAAGAACATAAGATGAAGATTCCCAAAGAAAATGCCAACCACTAGACGGCTCTTAGACAAATTATCATACGTAGGCAGTTCCACAAATTAATTATAAAGTTGTATGGACAGTTCTCTTGTCTTCGTTATCCTACAATTTGTATCTTCTAGGGAGGGGCGAAAAGAAGATTGCGGAGACCCGTCTAGGTACGCTGAAAGTATGTAGAGCAATGAATGATAAAATATAAGGGAAAGGATGACACTACATATGGCATATATACCGCGTACTGGTCCGGTGTAGACGAGACCGAGCGAGCATGCCAGGGAGTCGGTATCATCCTTCAAAAAGAGGGGGTTTCTGGGGGTCTACGCCCCAGACATGTCTAAGCCCACTTATATCCGAGAGCAGATTTGGGTGATGGTAAGGATTTTTTTGTGACGAACACTTTCTTTCGTCATAAGAAGATTCACATGTATACGTGGGAAAGAGGTGATGATAGAAGCATGATAGATTTCATAACTGTGGATTAAAGAATGAGGAGCGCAGTGGATACAAGGGTTTACCGGGGGTCCAACGTAGGGACGGACCACTACTTGGTCGTATGCTGAATTAGGAGTTTATTCAGACGTTGGCATCGGACATCTGTGTCTACCACTGCGTTACAGCGTATAAGAATTGAAAGGTTACAAGATGAAGATGTGAAAGACAAGTACAAATGTAGACTGAGAGAAAATATAAGTGATTTGGATGAATTGTGCGTGAATGAGCTAGACTTGGAGAATGTGTGGCATAATGTTAAAAAAGGTTTAGTGGATGCAGATACCGAAGTATGTGGTGTTAGTAGGAGGACGAATGAAAGGAAAGACAATATGTTATGGTGGGATGATGAGGTACGTATGGAAGTTGAAGCAAAGAAGAGAGCATGGCTATATTTACTAGCAACCAAAGCTAGTAATTCTGGTGGTATGAATGATGAGATTGAAAGAAAAAAGGCAGAGTTTAAACGTCTAAATAAGAAAGTAAAGAATTAGTTGAAAGGAAAAAGCAAGGAAGAACGGATAAGAATGATAGAAGAATAATAGATAACCTTCAGGCAAATATTAAAATGTTCTGAAAACTCGTAAGAAATACCAGGGAAAATTCAAAACAGCCTAGATTGAATGCGATACGAGACGAGAATGGCTGTATTCTGAATGATGAAGTGTTGAGTCTAAAGAGATGGAAGGAATATTTTGAAAGCGTATTTATGAGTGAGGAGACGTGTGAAATAAATGAAACAGAAATTTCAAAAGATGATGAAAGAGATAGGGAGATAAGTATAGATGAAATAATGAAAAGCATGAAAGTAGGTAAGGCAGCCGGATATGATAGCTTCACTTGCAATGCTAAGGGCTGGAGAGGAAGCGGTGGCAGGCCTGCTGGACACCTCGTTTAATTTATGTTGGGAACTAAAGCGGGTACCGGTGCAAAGCCGTGATAGTCCAAATATTTAAGAGAAAAGGGTCGCAGCTGGACTGTAAAAACTACCGTGGTATCAGCATTCTTTAAGAGAAAGAGTTATGAAAGAAACTGATGCAAAAATTTTTGGGATGTGCAAGCGGGATTTAGAAAGGGAATGGGGTGTACAGATCAAGTCTTTTCCATGCGTATGATCGCGGAGAAGTTTTTGGCGAAAAACCAAAAAGTTTCTTGTGCGTTCATGGACTTGGAAAAGGCTTATGATAGAGTGGACAGTGATGTGTTGTGGCAAACGCTGAACTCATTTAGGTTGAAGGCTGGGTTGATACAGACATTAAAGTCTCTGTATAGGGACTCGAGTGCTTGTGTTAGAATCAACGGGGCCTACTCGGACTGTTTTCGCATCCATAAAGGCGTCAGACAGGGCTGTGTATATTGTATATCCGCTCGTTTGCTTCTTGCAACCACAGTTGCAAAAACAGAATCCTTAACTTTGCTCTATGCAACTGTGGTTGCAAAGCGTCGAAGTTTTTTTAATTGAATTTAGACCACATTTTAAACGCACAGAGTCTAACTATTACGTATTAAAACCAAAAACAAATATATAAATCATAGATTTGGATCAAAATTACCAACCTTTTGGACGAAAAATATTGAAACTTTGTTAGTTAAACTTCAATGAGTGAAGTGACGCTTGAGTGGACTTAACGAGGTGATAAAATATGCCGTGAATATGCCGTATTGAATTTTATTGATTTTTGCTAGTATTTATATATCGACTTAATGTCTTATTAGTGTTTTCTTGTATTAAAGTAATATTTTTGCCAATAGTGTGTGAAAAATGTGTAAAGTCGACTTTTAAAAATACTCAGAATGACGCGAATCCAAACATAATTTTCTATAGCTTACATTATCGTAATTATGTTGTATTCTATATACGAAATAGTCGTAGTGGTATTTAAATATAATTATTAAATTTAAGTAATAAAGTTTTATAAATTGTTCATCATATTATAAGTTTTTATGTAATAACAGCCTAGATTGTAACTAACAAATCGCGATCAATTACACAATCCGTGAATTCTTCGTCGTGTTTCACTTAATATTTTTACTATGTATTTAAATAAAAATCGTTTTATAATATAGATAAATATATCAAGTAATCCATTAAGTTAAAGGATATAATAAATAATCATACACTTATCGATCTTATTTTTTTGATAAACCCGATGTTTTACAAAAAGTCGCTAAAATGGCTTGTACTTGTGATTTCAACACCTCTAAAATATTATTGTAATAATATTTTGATAGAATAACATATGTATTTTTATTTCTTATTTCACTGGATATTCATAAAATTGAAAATATTTCAAGTGCTCCTCTCGAGTAAGTCATAAATTAAGTTTTATTGACGGCGGGTCGAACGTAAGAAACACAGTCCCGATAACTGGCAAACTAAGCTACCCTTTTTTGTTCGCAAGCAATCGAGCGGATATATTATTTACAGACCCCCATGTTCTTTATATGATACTTTTGAAAAAATTTTGGAGGAAGTTTTTGCTAAGCTTAATAAACAGAATAAATCTGTTGTAATACGTTGAGACTTTAATATCAATCTCCTAGAAGCTTCCTCCACCAATATTAAATTAAGATCATTGTTTGAATCTCATGGTCTTTTAATTTATTTTTGGAGCCAACGCGTATTGCTGAATCTAGGTCAACATGTATAGATAACATTTTTACAAATGTTAAGCCGTTCAATAAATGTATTATTCAAAAATCCCAGTTCTGATCACTGTGGACAATTAGTTTCGTTACCTTATTTTTATTTTCTTTACAGCTAAGGTGGTACAGATCACAATATACAATATAAGACAATAAAATGCAAGCACAGTAGTCTTAATTCTCTAATATACAATTATTATAAACTATGATCTTATCACACCAACTAAGCTGGAGTGTATAAACAAGGGTGTATAGTTCTGTGGTCCTCACACTAGGCATGCCTGTGTCGTGAGGGCCTGATACGATTTTCTTATCACACGTGGCTTTCATTAATTGACACTGGGTCGACGTACGGTTATTACATTATGTAAGCTTTTTGTTTTTAAAATAAAATAAAATATAAAATGAAATAAATATTTATATTAAGTTAATATGTATAAAAACAAGTAATTACAGGTAAAATAATATTGTTAGTAAAGAAAATACTGTTATTCACAAATATTACAATAATTAATAAAACATATATGCATTAGAACTCCTATAAATACATATGCATATTACATACTGTATTCATATATTTTATTTACGTAAATATATGATAAAGATTACGGTTTAATTAGGTTTTCTGTACTATCGTAGCTCAGAGTTAGTAACCATTTTGTTATGGTTCTTTTAGCTTCCACCACTGATTTTTCTTTTATATCGCAATACTTGAGGACGGAGTTGTACACTTGAGTTCTCACGAATTGCCCAAAACGTTTAGAAAAAGCAGAGTTGATAGCGGGAGTTGGCAAGCGGAATACTCTTCGTTTCAACAATGTCTTATACTCTGGAGATGCCAGTGTACACTTATGAACAGTTAGGGAGGTCTTCAATATGAAAAGTTGTCTTACATTTAATAGTCCACTGTCCTTATATAAATCAAAAGTTGAATATCTATACGGCTTTTTTAACATTACTTTTATAACCGAACGTTGCGCTCTCTCAACTCTGATCAGGAAAGTTTTTGCTGCACTTCCCCAGCAAGTAA